TGGGTAATACCAGATGGCTAGGCCTCAGACTGACGAAGCCTCTTGGATGAGGGGCGAAACGTTTCTTTTTAACAAAAAAACAAAGTCCAGATGACACGATTTAACCTTTTTTGTTGTTATATACCTGGATGACTGAGAAAACAAACTTTGTGTTTTTGAAACCATTAGTGAAAAGGCCAGACTTCAGGTGTATCTGAGGCAGGCTTGAAACACAAGAGTCAGAGTGGCTTCTGGGTAATACCAGATGGCTAGGCCTCAGACTGACAAAGCCTCTTGGATGAGGGGCGAAACGTTTCTTTTTAACAAAAAAACGAAGTCCAGATGACATGATTCAACCTTTTTTGTTGTTGCAGGTTTATCTAAAAAAGTTAAATCTGGTCCTCTGGACATTCAAAAAAACAAAACAAAGCAAATCAACAAAAAAATGTAGAAACGTTTCGTCTCATCCGAGAGACTTCCTCAGTATTCAGCTCAGTCTCTTAAATAGCACCTTCTCAGAGTGGATCAACCAGTTTTGCTGCTGACAACCAAAACCAGCTGATCACATGCTCAAGACATGTAAATCAAGACATCAAGACAAGAGATTTCAAGACATGAAATCTCAGGAAGTCCAACATTTTACTGACCACATCAACTCTGTGGATAAATACATCAAGTTCACACGAGAAGATGTAAAAAATGACAGGTTGGCTTTCTTGGACTGTGAGGTCTCAGTCTCTGATAGAGGACATTTGCAAACTGAGGTGTACCGCAAACCCACCCACCCAGACCAGTATTTGCAGTTTGACTCCCATCACCCTTTGGAGCACAAGTTAGGAGTCATCAGGACTCTGTACCACAGAGCAGACAGCGTCCCCACTAGCTCAGGAGCCAGGCAGAAGGAGAAATCCCACACAAGACAGGCTCTAGAGCAACGTGGATATCCTAACTGGGCCTTCCTGAAAGCAGAGAAGAAACCCAAACAGGACTCCAGTCAGCCAACAGGTGAAAAGGAGGAACCCAGACCCAGACCAGTGGTCGGTCATTCCATATGTTGAGGGAGTATCAGAGAAACTGAGACGTTTATTTTCTAAACATAACGTCCCAGTGGCTTTTAAACCCCAAAATACATTACGGCAAAGACTGGTTCATCCCAAAGATCCAGTCCCCCGGCACAAACAGAGCAATGTTGTGTATGCTGTTCAGTGTCAGGAGGGCTGTGATCAGTCTTACATCGGGGAAACTAAACAGCCACTGGCCAAAAGGATGGCCCAGCACAGAAGATCAACATCATCAGGCCAGGACTCTGCGGTCTACACTCATCTCCAGGCCAGCGGTCACTCTTTCAGGGATGAAGATGTTCACATCCTGGACAGAGAGGAACGATGGTTTGAGAGAGGAGTAAAGGAGGCCATCTTTGTGGAAAAAAAAACGTCCATCATTAAACAGGGGTGGAGGCCTCCGGGTTCAACTGTCCCCCTCTTACAATGCTGTGATTGCTAGTATCACTCAGCCCTCTGTGAACAGTAAACAGCCATCAGTGTGCTAATGATCCATTGTTAGGCTGATGGTCCTTCTTGAGCATGTGATCAGCTGGTTTTGGTTGTCAGCAGCAAAACTGGTTGATCCACCCTGAGACGGTGCTATTTAAGAGACTGAGCTGAAAACAGCTCCTCAGACTGAGGAAGTCTCTCGGATGAGAGACGAAACGTTTCTACATTTTTTTGTTGATTTGCTTTGTTTTGTTTTTTTGAATGTCCAGAGGACCAGATTTAACTTTTTTAGATTTTTCTACCTGGATTATTGAGCATGCATCAGGATATGTTGCAGGTTTATTTTCCAGGTCTAATGAAGTTATTTTTTCCGTTCAATAAAACATCTTGGTGAGAATACGTACGTCGCCTCAATGACAACCCCAACCCCGGTGGGCTGCAGGGCCTCAGTGATTGCCACGGCGATCTGTTTGGTCAACCTCTCCTGAACTGTGGATGCAGAAGACAGACGGTCCAATACAGTAACACAAACAGACAGCGCAAACAACAGCTCAGGGACACTGATGGAGGAATGTGTATAGTTTCGAAATGCAAAGAAGTACTCGGGTATGAGTAAATCCTGCACTCATAGCTGCAAACACTCTGCTAAAACCTTAAACACTGTCAGTTTCACATAGATCCACAAATAATTCTGTGGTTATATGTGACACAAATAGAAGCAACAGCTAGCTTTATTACATTATTTCTACAGGAATGGCTGCCTAATACAAAACTGACAAAAGTGTAAAGGTTTATTAAAGTGTTTGCATCAGCCACAATGAAACCTTTAAGATTAGAGTTGTTATAAAATGGCAGGGTGAGCATGGACTAGTTACCTTATCAATCTTGTCAGGACTTAACCATTTCCCCAAACTAATTATGTTCAACTAGCTATCTAAAGCCGTGCAGCCTGATTGATTAGTGGTTAGCACAGTGGCATGGTTTCCTCCCACAATCCAAAAACCTGCACATTAGGCTGCCTTCAGGCCCAGAAGAGAGCTGTGATCTTAATGGGATTTGCCTGGTTAATAAAGGTAAATAAAGTATTGTACTAGCGAACATTACGTGACAAAAATGGGAAAACAAAATCAAGGTTGCTTAATGCTTGTGCAATTTTACTGTATGAGGAAAACCAGATCTAGATATAGACAGATATACTTTTAGACCATATTTAGCCCAGTTATAACCTAGACTTTTGTTTACGCCAAAACTAATAATCTACAATAGAGCCCGACCGATATATCGGTACAGCCGATAATTTGGGCCAATATAGTCGTTTGGGGACCTATCAATATCGGTGATAATGGTCCCATTAGTTGCTGATATAAGCACTTTTAACTGTCCCTCCTAAAATGCTGGGATCAGCTGTAATTATACAATTATCCAGCAGAGGGCGCATGAAGACTACTTTCAAGTCATTGCCGTTCATTTAAGTTTCACTTTCAGCACCACCGAAGCAGGGAGCAACTAAATACTGTGTAGCGTATTTGCTGAACAGAGTAAGTTTATTTTAACTGATCTGTAAAACAATTCAAAAATAAATTTGCTTCAATCCTCCAACCCCCTTGCCATTAGCTACGTGCCTCTCAAGTTAGCAAGCTAAAGTTTAGATAACCTAGCGTAGGCTATTGTCTTGTAAAACTTTATCCAGAACAATACATCTAATGTAGAGGTAATATATATCAGTTTTAATGTTATCTTTGTCATCTTCAATGAAATGCATTTTGTCTGAAATCTTTACTTCTCTGCAAAGAAAAAAAGAATGCCGCTGCGGTCAACACTGATTAGACCTTCACCATACGCGGCGGACTGTTTAAATAATGAACAAAGAAGGGTGTTTCTTTGATTAATTTATATTTATGTAACACTTGATAACTTTATGGTGAATAGTGGAGGATAGAAAATGTGAACGCACGTTAGGAAGAATGTTTTAATGACCATTGCACCACTTGTAAACCTACTGTGGAACTATGCATAGTGTGGATCTGATTAGCTTCATGGTTGCTAACAGCTGTGCTAAATAAACAAGCCCCGCCCTACTCGCTGTTTACTTAGATTCTTTGGGGTGAACAAGCTAAAAACTTTTCATTCATTATAGTGGTTATTAGCGGTCGCCCGCCCCTCCTGGTGTCAGTATTGGTGATAGCCTAAATTTCCATATCGGTCAGGTTCTAATCTACAATGAGCTCCAGGTTGATGCCAACTGGACAGTTAGGTTCATGAAGTTGTGGATAACTTATTGCTTCTAAATAGGGCAACAGTATTCATTGTTCGTACCCTACGCTGAATGATTTACAGCTAGAAAAGATGCAGCACAGTTTGAAATGATTCCAAAAGATTTTTTGCTCTTTCCCCCCAGCTTCACAGGTGACTGCTGGTTGAGCAGTGGCTCAGCGGCTACCAGTGGAGCTGAGCTGGACTATCAACTGTTTAGTTTGTAACTCTGAAAGTTACATTTGACTCAATAAACACATCATGCCTATGTCTTATTGTTGGCAGTGATAAGATGCTTCTTACATCAAAAAAAGGGTCAAGTTAACATTTTGAACACCAACTCAAGAAAATGGGAGAGTCGCTGCACTATTTTAGTTTCCAACCTGAAGACCATAAAATGATTCTAAAAGATCATCAATGTTTGTTTTGGTTAAGATGTCGTCTCAGTCTCACAAAATGGTTTTCTTTTTAAGTGGTACCTTGTAATCGGCGGCTGTAGATCTCAACAATCCTGAAAGAAAACAGGAGAAGAAAGCAAAACTGAGTCCTTTGATACATTTAGATAACTGTTTAAACAGACAAACAAAACAACAACAATAAAAATAACTCGTTTTATACATGCTGCATGTACATACAGTCTCACACAGGGATTTTGTGTGCATGTGTTTGTGACAGTTTTGTGTTATCTGTTGTTTCATTGTTTTTGGCTCCTTGAGTTCAGTTTTTGTTCCTCTGGGCCTTGTGTCCCCCCTGCCCCCACTCAGTACTTTTCCAGCCAGCCTGCCACGCCCCTCTACACCTGCTCCCTGTTTCACCTGTTGCAGCTGCAGCCACTTCCCTCATCAGCCCCAGTCCTTTTAGTTACTCAACTTCACCTCCGTCACCAGTTCAGCATTGTTGGTCTTTATGCTAGTGATGAGCAAATTAAGCTTTTATGAAGCATTGAACCAGTTGGGCCAAATGTTTCAAAAATAGGTTCATTTGTTGAAGCTTCAGTTACACTGAGCTCTTGTGGCATTTTGCAATGCTGCTTTCAAATTAGGTGTTATGCTTTTGGTGGCACACACCAAGAACTTCAGTGACTAGTGTTAAAGAAACTACTTTACTGTGGTAAAAAACATGTTTTTTAAATTCATCAACTTTCTATGTTGTCTGGTTTGAAAATGTATTCATGCTTACATGTTTTTGAATAAAGATTGATAAATGTACATTGAAGAGATTTAATAAAAATGTTGCAATGGTATTGTGCTTGTGTAACTGTGGCAGAGTCAGAGTCTTTATCAAGGAAAGACAGAGTTCATCTTCTTCGGTGATGATGCTCCCTGTAACTTTGGTGCTCTAACATCCAAGTTCAGATCCACAGTTAAAAACTTGGGAGTGACGTTTGACAAGGACTTAAAGTTTGATAAACAAATATCCTCTGTAGTCAAGGCCTGTTTTTATCAGTTACGTCTTTTATCCAAAGTTAAGCCTTTTTTAAATCGTTCTGATTTGGAAAAGACCATCCATGCTTTTATAACTTCAAGGCTCGACTACTGCAATTCCCTATATGCAGGAATCTCCCAATCCTCCATTAGACGCCTTCAATTGGTCCAAAATGCTGCAGCTCGACTTTTAACCAACACCTCCAGACGTGAGCACATCACCCGTTTTATTTTCTCTCCACTGGCTTCCAGTCGATTTTAGAATTACATTTAAAATGTTATTATTCACTTTTAAAGCTCTCAGTGGTCTTGCCCCACTATATTTGACTAATCTTGTAGCTGCCCGTGAATATAGGCGAACACTGAGACAATCTAATACATTTCTACTCTCTGTCCCAAAGTCCAACTACAAACGATGGGGTGACCGGTCCTTTTCGGTTGTTGCACCCAGACTCTGGAACCAGCAACCTCAGGACTTGCGCTCCATCACTGACATGGAGCATTTTAAATCTAATCTTAAAACATTTTTATTCAGGCAGGCTTTAATACCTAGTAGGTCTTTGACAATCTTGCTATGTTTTAAATGTTTTTGTTTTTAACTGGCTGATTTTTTACTCTTGTTTGTTTTTAACTTCTGTACTGTGCAGCACTTTGTGCACCTTTTGGCTGCTGGAAAGGGCTCTATAAATAAAGTTTGATTGATTGATTGATTGATCATTCTTAAAATGTCAATGAAATTACATCTCTAGCATCTCCATGTTTGGAGCTGAAGTGTCTAATCATAGAGGAGGTATCAAGATGCTTCAGTTCAGTTGAACACACCAAACACTGCACCTGCACTTTAATGTAAATAAAAAACTTAATTTGAGCCCATACTGATATATGATTATTAAAATCACATAGATAATTTTACTGTAATTATATTAAATACATGAGTTAAATGGGTTAGATAATATCTTCACTGCTGAACATTACTATTACTTCTTTGACATTTAAATGCCAAAACCACCTTATCATGAGCAGAATGAAGTGTTCCCACATGTTAGAACGACCTCTTTTCCTGGCTGCCTCTATAATTACTCAATTTCAACTAACAGCAGAAACACACCTACTCTCCAACACAATGCAAACATTTTAGAGCTGTTTCATAGTGTTGAGCTCTCAATTCAAAACTGTCTCAACCTGTCACCTGTCAGAATCGAGACGAGGCGGTGCCAGGGAATCAGCTGTTTGGACCACGAACCAGTCAAGCGATTCATTCCGACAACGAAACAGTTTGTGTTTCGGACGTCACATGTCACGTGTCTTTTTCCACACCAAAACAGGCTCCGAAGCAGTGCTCCGATGTAATTTTACTGCAGGGTTGGAAACATGTTTTGAAGCTTTTGTTTCATACTACCATCACTACTTTATGCCACATTCAGTTCTCCTTGTGCAAAAGACTTTAGTAGATGTAAGTTTTGCTGCCACAACCGCTTTTTGATTTTGAATAAAGTTTAAATTTTTGGAACTCCTTGAGCCAGTCTACAGTGCTGCTTGAAAGATTGTAAACTCTTTATAATTTTCTATATTTCTGCTGTAGTGAACTAGGCCTCCGACCAAAACCTGTCTCTGAAGACCTTCATGGGACAGGAACTGTTATTTCATTGATTTGAATCCAGAAATACAAATTAGCTCATCCAGAGACTGTCTAATTGTATCCTGAATTAATCAATTGAAAGAACACTCTTTTTTTATATTATCATTACTATTTTACAATATCTTGATAATCAAAAGTGTGTTTAGTTCATATCATTTCTAATGTTGAAAGTAAACCACTCATTTAAATCAACTGTGAAACAGTATTAATGATTTTTAAACCTAATTAAATTAGAAATCAAGTTAAATGTCTATTTACAAAGTAATTATGCATTTTGATCTTCTGTCTAAATGAGAAGTCAGTGATGTCGGTCGAAAGTCATAGACAGTCAGAAAACAAGTTATTAGAATGAACTGTATTGTTCTTAAACCTAGCAGATGGTAAATAACTTCCACTGGCAACTGCGTTTGTCTCACTTTGCCATAACATTTCTCTGTCTGTACTAAACGTTCCTAAACATTCTTGCACCCTCTCTTGACTTTTAATAACCCTCTGACATCACTAGAACCACCCCCTGTTGGTTGTTTCAACCAATCAGGAAGTCCTAAGTGACCAGAAGTGAGGCCTCTTTAAATAGTCAACACTTCCTGGAACTATTCTTGGACCAGTCTTTTGACCGCCGTCTTGGACTGCAGTCGGACTCAGTCTTCTCGACTCTTCAGGCTTTGATCTGAGTCTTCTCGACTCTTCAGTCTTTGACCGGAGTCTTCTTGGGTCTTTCATGGAGTCTTCTTGGAGTATTCCACTTCCGAGTGGGATCTCTGATGGAGTCACAGCGCCTCGCTGTGAACTCACCCGGGCGTAACGCCCTACAATTTCGAAGGAAGCTTGTCTGTTTACCGGAGTAAACCACACGACTTCTGACAATGACCAGCCGCTTTAACCGGAGACGCTGGAAAGGTAGCGTTGAAATGGACCCGGTGCCGGAGCTGATTCATCTTCTGCGATGGTAACGAGTCGTCGCGCGCTAAGTGTACCGGAGGTTTGAGCTGGTGTTGAAAGAAGCGTGCTAATTCTGGTCAACAAAACATACATCTTTCCTTCATCCATCTTCCTCTATATCTTTCAGGTTGCAAGTCCATCACAGGATCTATGAGAGTCTGATCTTCACAACATGTTTGTGGAAGTGGATCATGGAGGAACAAAGGAGATTTCTGAGGAGCTCAGAAAAAGAGTTGTTGATGCTCATCAGGCTAGAAAATGTTACAAAACATCTGTAAAGAGTTTGGACTCCAGCAATCCACAATCAGACAGATTGTGGTCAAATGGAGGAAGTTCAAGACCATTGTTTCCCTCCCCAGGAGTGGTGGACCAACAAGCATCACTCCAAGTTGTGTAATAGTCTGTGAGGTCACAAAGGAGCCAGGGTAACTTCTAACAACAGAAGGTCTCTCTCACATTAATGTTGATGTTCATGAGTCCACCATCAGGAGAACTCTGAACAACAATGGTTCATGGCAGGTTGAAGGAGAAGACACTGCTCTCCAACAAGAACATGGCTGCTCGTCTGCAGTTTGTTAAAGATCACGTGGACAAACCAGAAGACTGTTGGAAGATTGTTTTGTGGACGGATGAGACCAAAATAGAACTTGATGGTTTAAATAAAAAGAGTTCTGTTTGGAGACAGGAAAACTCTGCATTCCTGCATCTGGACCAGGACGTCTTGCCATCATTGATGGAAGAATGAATTCTGAATTATGTAGTGATGTAAGGGTTAACTTCACTACTAATTAATTATTCTTAAAGCTAGTTCAAGCACAAAGAATATTAATTGTTTAATTACAACGGATTCTTTTCTTTTTCGAGTTAAATTTCTGTTATGTGACCAAGATAACTTGTGAGTGGAGTGTTTAATCAGTGACACGAGACGCCATTTTATCTTTGACCCATCAGAATAAATGCGGTCATTTATTTAAGAGAATCAAAATTTAACATCAAAACATGTACACATTGATTTGCTGATCTGTTTCTGATTAATAAACTTGGCAAGCTTTACTAACAAGACAACAGAACATTACTGATTGAGACTGATTCATCTCTGAAGGCATCTAGCTGGATTTACTGGCGAATAGAGAGTTTAAGAGAGGAGGAATAATTTAAGGAGGAAGTTTAAGATGTGGAGTTATGTGTTGAACCAGAACATGGCACTCTTGCTCCGACATCCAGCTCAGCTCTCCGGTACACTTAAGGACATGCAGCGACTTTGTTACCTTAGCAGAGGATGTATCCACTCCGGAACATAAGTCCATTGGTACGCTCCCTGTTAGAGTAGCTGGGGGTCATCAGAAATCCTGACGAAGTACTCGGTTCAACTGAATAACCTTCCTTAGGAGTTGAGGTTTTAATGCTCGGGTTGAGTCACAGCCGAGGCAGGCTGTGACAACGCTGGACTGGAGAGACCTTTGGCACATGGTCAAATCCATCCGCTACTTAGTTGAGTCTCATCTC